GCTGTCCCTGTCCCTGTCCAAGGAGCTAGATACTGACGCTGGGGGTTGAGGTGTCTACCTGGAGTAGCCTGGATGAAAATACTAATATTATCCATGCAGCCTATTTTGCTTTCAGACTCACTTAGCAACCTTCAGATAACTGATGGATCTTCCTGCTATATCAGTCTGAAATGCAGGTGTCCGAGATGGGAGCCACTGCTTGCTTGCTTGATCGGTTCATTCACTCAACAAACATTAAGAATCTACTCCCTGCACTGTTCTATGCCCTGAGGACAGATCAGTGAGTACAAATAGACCCCAACCTCTGTCTCAGAGAGCATCCATCCTGGTTGGAGGAGACCATTGAACAAATAAAGCACACAGTGTGTCAGATGGTAATGATAAAGTGCTATGGTGAAAATACAAAGAAGGGAAGGAGTGAGGGAGAGACTGCTAATTTAACAATGGGAGCAGGAAGGTCTCCTGATAAGTTAAATGAAAGAAGTGAAGGTAGGAGGCACTAAATGTCTTGAGGGAAGATGGCCTTGTGATGTCTGAGGGAGGCCAGGGAGGTGTGCACCAGGGAGCCAGATGGGACAGAACTGTGACTTGAGCCTTCCCATGGCTGGAAAGAAGATTCCTTTCCATGGGGGTGTGGTGATTTAGGAATCTGGTGTAGTCTGTACTTCTGCCTGCTTTGAGCTTGGCTAGAGTGAGTCTATCTTTTATGAGATTGAACCACTCTTAGATTCTTTGTCACATTTAACTTTCTGCCCCCCAAAAGCTGAGGATATAAACTCAAACTTGGGGACTTCTTCATGGTGGTGCTATTTGAGCGACCAACAAAAACCCCAAATCTTTGTATCATCTCATACAGTGTCAATAGAGGCTTCAGATGTGAGTTCTGCACTATATAATGTAAGGAATCATAATTATTTGTGGTTTTAATGGTGGCTTTACAAACATTGAGATACAGAATTTTACTGGTAGACTAAGAGATCATGGACGAAGAATTGTTAACTATAAAGTTCACTGATGGACTTTGGAGTGAGACAGATCTGGGCTTGTATCACAGAATTATCACTTAATAGCTATGGAGGCTTAAGAAAGTTATTTGAGAGTTTGTTTCTTTCACCATAAAGAGTGTGGTGGGAAAAATTAAGTAAAACGAAGAGAGTGGTTGTAAGGATTAAATGAAGCAATGTTCCTGATGGCAACGCATTGGTATTCATTCATTCTGTTTCTCCTCTCCCACTTCTCAATTTCTTTGCACTGTGAGAATTGCTGCCCACAGGGAATCATAATGCAATATATATATATTTTTTTTGACAGGCAGAGTGGACAGTGAGAGAGAGACAGAGAGAAAGGTCTTCCTTTTGCCATTGGTTCACCCTCCAATGGCCGCCGCGGCCGGTGCACTGTGGCCGGCGCACCGTGTTGATCCGAAGCCAGGAGCCAGGTGCTTCTCTGGGTCTCCCATGCGGGTGCAGGGCCCAAGCACCTGGGCCATCCTCCACTGCACTCCCTGGCCACAGCAGAGAGCTGGCCTGGAAGAGGGGCAACCGGGACAGAATCCGGCGCCCCGACTGGGACTAGAACCTGGGGTGCTGGCGCCGCAGGCGGAGGATTAGCCTAGTGAGCCGCGGTGCCAGCCCATAATGCAATCTTAATCAATCACCACTTTTGGCACCAAAGGCTTCTTACCGTACTCTCAAATATGGACGCCAAGGTTGTCATCAGAGGGGCTGAATGAATCCACCGTGCACTTGTGTTATGCTACACGTTCTAGATCTCCCTACCTCCTTTAGAGCTGGGGAGGGGAAGGAAACACCTACTGTGAAACACTCAGTGTGGTGCTCAGCCAGTGCTCATCCTCATTAATGTTAACTTTTACCATGTCTATTTCATACCTTCTGAGAAATTTTATCGGAATGTTGTATGTATTAGTTATGTTATAAAAAAGTAAAATAAGACACAACAAAACTATGTGAGTGGCAGTGGTTTATCTTATTGATAACAATGGTAAACTATGAGGGGTTCTCTATTCTTTTGTCCAAATATTGGGCATAAACTGAATGGGAACTGGGAGCTGTGATGATTAGTTACACATGTCAAGTTGGCTAGACTACTCCATTATTCAAACCCTCTCTTAGGTGTTGCCGTTGAAGGGGATACCTCCAGTCAGTTGACTTGTCAGCCTCACCCAATCAGTGCATGGCCTCAGAGCAAAACTGAGACTTCCCTGAAAAAGAGAGATTTTTCCACATGACAGCAGCATCAGCTCTTGCCTGAGTTTCTAGACTGAGAGCTTGCCCTACAGATTTTGGACTTGTCAGCCCCTACAATTGTATAACTCGATTCCTGGAAATAAATTATATGTATGCATATAGGTGCATATGCATATATATTGGTATGTATACATACATATGAGGGGTCTTTCAAAACATTGTGGACAATGCATATTATGAAAAAACTATACCTGACTTCCTAAATTTTGGTTGTACTACAGCAAACTTAGTTTGAAATTTCCTTTTTCCTGGAAGTTTTTGAAGCACTCTCAAATATATGTTTGTAGAAAAATAGAATAAAAACGTAAGTTTATTTTGGTGCAGAAAACTTGAAAATCATGCGCAATTTTTTCATAATATGCATGTCCATGTACTTTTTGAAGACCCCTCACCGTGTGTACTTCTGTTTCTGTGCCTTGGAGAACCCTGACTAACATAGGTATAAATGAAGGCTTATTTATCTGTCTCTCTCTTTTGTCTGTAATTCTTTAGGATGCCTATTTGCATGATGTAATTTTATTGAAATGAAAACTCAACAGCTCCAAACTGCATAATAAATCTGTTTCAGCCTCATGACAGTTTCTTTTTGGTTGGAGCCGAGCAACCTGACCCCCGAGGTGTGGAGATCATCCCTACACTGACAATGGTTGGCATGGCCTAACCTCTCAGGTCCGCAGGGTGCATCACCTGGGTTCTGGGTGAACAATAGAATGAACATAAATGCCAAGTGGATAATTTGTCTCTAACAATATAGATGTGTCAAGAGGGCAGGGAGTTGAAACTGTTTGGCTTGCTACTCTCTAGGTATAAATTCAGAGCACAAGCAGGATACAAAAACTCCTGTAAGTGGAAATGTATTTGTGCCGAGATGGCATCCCTGCAATTTCTAGAATGAATGCACAGGAGGACAAATTACCATAAGAAGAGATATTACTGAGAGTGTAAATCTGCTTCCATTTTTGCTAGTCTGTCCATAATCATATGGAAATAAACCCTTGGAGAAAAGTGAGATAAAAACTATGACATCATCTGAATTTTGTGTCACTGCTTTAAGCTACAAGCTTGGGTGGGCTCCAGCCTTCATTTTCTCATCTCCAAGTTAATTTTTCTACTTTGTTCATTTTTTTTCATTGTAAAGCCTTTCTTACAGCACTGTCAGAGAATCTGAACAAAAACAACTTTTAACACATTTCCAATTCATCATTTTGTTGCTGATATCTCTTAGTCATTTGTAGACTTTTTATAACTTTGTACACATTTGGATATCAGACACTCACAAACAAAGGCAGGGGCAAATTCTGTCTCTCCAAGAGAGATCAACCAGGAGCACCAACCAGCAATTACCTTCTCAGAACTACCTTCCGTTAGCGAGTCCAGACATGAGAACTTCTAAGAGGTAGTCAGTGGTTAAGATGGACTGACTCGAGGGGATGGAAACCTACACTGTCCCTAAAAGCTCACGATTGGGCACGACAAGCCTACTGGCCGTAGACAGAGCTATGGAAAAGCTAAATGTAACCTCCAAAAACCTCTGCCTTCCACATCACCATTTTGTAATTTTTGGAACGCTCTTATCTTCGGAGAACTGCTTTCTAATTCTCATGTTGTTTCATTCTGCTTATCTCTTCAATCTTCAGTTGGCTTCACTTCTTTCTTCATTTTTCCCTATTTTCCACAGTCAGTCCTTTAGCTTGCTCTCCTCTCACCCCCATTGTGAATTTCCCATACTTCTCATGCCTTTCTCTCTTTTCCATTTTCACCTCTTCTTTGAATTTCTTTGCCCTGTTTTTTAATTCTTCTTCCTCTGCCACTGATCTGTTATGGCTTTAATCATTGCTCAGGGGCTTAAAAGCACCGAGGGACTGACATTTCTTCCCTGAAAAGGAGAGGGATTTGTGACTGTGGAAAAACCAGCTACAAAGACCCAAGACATTCAATTTACAGTGCAGTTCTTTTCTTTCTTCTTTAGCGCTTTAGCTTGGATTAGAGATGGACCACTCACTGCATCTCACAATGGCAAAGCGCTCCAGGCCTGACTTCTCTGCCCTGTGCATCACATGACAAGGTGGATCGCAACTACTATGTTTACACTGATTGCCAGAATTTTAAGAACTGCCCTTTGCCAGAAATGGCTGACTCAAGTCTGTCTGGAAAACTAAAACAGTGCTATTTTATGCTCTGATGAATCAGATTCATTCTCTGCCCATTCATTTTGAGCCCCTCCCCTCTCTTCATTTTTTACAGCATTCAGAAAAAAAAAAAAAGGCATAGCTATGGTTTTCTAGGAAAAGAGTGCAAGAGCTTTGTCCAAGTGACCCTGGACAAAGGCTGCAAAGATTTTTCACATAATACCCTTAATCAAGAAGGTCTTTTTGGCCAACTGGACCGAAAGCAAGATCTTGATAAAGGAAGAGCGGTAAACTGGATGGGTTCTTCAAGAGTCTATGTTTTTAGAAAGTACTAGATTAGATTAAGTTGCCAGGAAAACAAAACACCAAATGCATTTGACTACGAGATGTCACTTGAGCTGCACGTCACCATCTAAGTATGGACTCCAGAGCGTTTTAACTGAAGGACTCATCCCTTTCGATAAGTTTGGCTGTGAATGTGCGTTACCTCTGCGTTTCTTGACGAGCAGACGCACATACCTTGATGTTGAAGGGCTCAAAGTCATTCTCTGGTGCGCAACAGGATCAGGACAGGATCCGTGAGATTGTTACTATCAAAGGATACTTGTGGTCAAAGCCATACCACATCCTGAAGAGCCGGGCGCTCTCTGCTTTGGTTGTGCTTTTATCCAAGTTATTTGCTTCCTGGAAAGAGATAACGAAAAAGGATAAATAGTCAAACATATTTTATATAAAAATATACATCAAACCAAATTAAATTTAACTATGTTAAAAAAACAATCTTTCTAAGTATAGGCATTTTCTTCTGAATGGTGAAGCAGCTGCCAAGCAAATTAGCTCATAGATCTTGCCATGCGGATGTGATTCCTCAAGTAGAATTCAACATTTACTTTTCTTAATAATCTTGATTTTACGAAGCAACTAAGAAATGCCACTTTTTGGCCATCAATAAAAACGATATCTCTGTCAGGTTGTGGTGATGGGAATTTTGTAGTTACTTCTGTTCTGTTTGGATGGCATTTATTTATGGATTACCAAAAGGTCAAGGCTAAGAGATGATGCCAGCCTCATAATTGTTAAACTCATTCGCCTTCATTTTCTTTTTGGCAGATCACTACCAATGGCTGGGGCTGGTTTTGCTATCTTCCTGCGTAGACGATGAAGAGTTCTGAAAGAGATATTCCTGGTGGGAAGCTGTAATCCCTCATACTGTGCTTCATTCTCCCCTGCCACCCTCTCCCCTCTGCCCCAGGGCTACAAAGGAAGAGAGGATGAGAAGGAATTGAAGACAAAAAAGAGAGAGAGAGTATTTGATGGCATTCATGTGCGAGTAGAAGATGAAAATGTGAGAAAAAGGAAAGAAGGTGAAACACTTTGAGAACTTCAGACACACTTGATGATAAAATTTGCAGAGTGACACAAAGGATATTCCATGACATTTTTACTCTGTGTATCCCATTTGGCATATTGAGAAAAGAGAATTCCAGTCAGTTGCAATTACCCCCGCGATTAAAGGCATTTATATCTTTTTTTTGGCATTTATATCTTTTCTTAAGAAGATTTATTCATTTATTTGAAAGGCAGTGTAACAGAGAGGCAGAGGCAGAGAGAGGTCTTCCATCTGCTGGTTCACTCCCCAAATGGCCACAATGGCTGGAGCTGAACCGATCCAAAGCCAGGAGCCAGGAGCTTCTTCAGGGTCTCCCATGCAGGTACAGGGGCCTAAGGACTTGGGCCATCTTCTATTGCCTTCCCAGGCCATAGCAGAGAGCTGGATTAGAAGTGGAGCAGCCAGGACTCCAACTGGTGCCCATATGGGATGCTGGCACTACAGGTGGTGGCTCTACCCACTATGCCACAGCGCCAGCCCCAAGGCATTTATATCTTAATGTGGATATTGTTGTTTTGTTGGGACCATGGTTTCCACCTCCAAATTTCACCATGAGTTGGTAGCCCAGGAGTTACGTGAGCATTGTTCCAAAGATTAGATGGTGCATGGAAGTTGAGGGTGATCCATGGGCTCACAAAAGCCAGCCCTTGGGAGAGCCCAAGAGGATCTGCTGTCATTCATTTGTTTAATTATCCCTTCATAGTCAGTTCCATTATTGGTTAATGGTAAATGTTAAGGGCTCTATTCTGCCTTCTGAAACATATATATACTACCAGGTGCTTCAAGTGCCATTCTCCACATGTGAAACGAGATGACAAGGAAGTAAAGTGTGGTCCATCTTGAATCAGCCACTTACTTTTTGCCTAAAATGATTGAAGCAGGAGTGGATGTTAAGCCTGGCAGGTAAGATGCCTATATCCTATATCCAAAAGCCTGGGTTCAATTCCTGGCTCTGGCTCCTCACCAGCGTCCTGCCAGTGCAGATCCTAGATGATGGTTCAAGTAATGGGTCCCTGCCATCCACACAGGAGACCAGGATCCAGTCCCAGCTCATGGCTTTGGCCTTGTCCCAACTCTGGCTGTTGCAGGCATTTGAGGAGTGAACCAGTAGATCTCTCTCTCTCTTTCTCTTTCTCTCTCTCACTCATACACACACACACATACACACACACATTCTCCCTCTCTCTCTTTCTCTCTCTCACTCTCTCTCTCTCCCCCTGCTTTCTCGAATTAAAAAAAAATGTTTAAGCAGAGACTCACAGTGAAATTTAAATTCAAATTTCTCATTGCCCTTCTCATCGGTTGTCCTAAGATATCTGAATGTCAAATCTTGTGTGGTTTCCCAAACAGTGGTCCTGAATATGCCACTGTTCACATGATATTGATGGGAATTCTGGCCAATCATGCAGATAAGGATGGGTCTGACAGTGTTACACACATTTCTTAAGCGCAGGACTTCTCAGGGCCTTTATGTATAAATGAACACGGTAAATCTTCAAGAGTAACAAACTTCTGTCTTCTGATAGAGTTGGAGTGTCAAGTTTTATTAGCTCGAGTTAGGATTTATTTGTATTTCCCCCTAAGGGAAACCGGGACATCTGCTTCAATTTCCACACTTCCTTGCACTTTTCTCTTGATATTTCCACCCAAGAAAGGTGTCAGATGTGCACACCACGTTTCCTCCACCATCACGCAGCATCTGCAAGTTCTTCCTGAGCTCCCATCCCCCAGCAGCATGTTGGGGTTCAGCCGGCAGAGCAAAACTGCTCATGCGGAATGAAACTGATCAGAGAGAGCTTGGGGAAAACAGTGGGGCCTCCCTCCTTCCCACAGGCACTTACTGATTTCTGTCCCTTAACAGGCATAGGTGACTTTCGGTGGCTGATGACAGGATAAATGATTGAACCTTATAAAAAGGAGTGTCAGCAAATTCCTGGGCTTGTTTATTTGTTTTTTCAAGGAGGGGAGGGAGGTATAACGGAGAGCTCTGCTGACAACCAGGGCCCAGGACCCTGGCAGACGCTCTGCGGCAACCCAGCTGAGCGATGCTACAACGCCAGTCCCTAGTTATTGAATGCTCATTCATTCTCAGCAGCGCGGCACATTATCCAGTCATTAAGTTTTTCAGTCATTATTTCTCACTTCTCACAACCATCCATCAAGGTGGGGCACGTTACACCTACGTTGCCCATGAGGACCTAACAAAGCACAGAGAAGGGAAAAAGTGAGCTCAGGGTCATGTGGCCAGTGAGCACGAGCTGGAATGTTGGACTCCCAAGACGATGTTTCTTTACACAACAGCTGACTCAGTTTTTCAAAATGTGGGAAGCATAGGCATTCTACAATCAGGCTTCACTGGCCTGCAGCTTCCTGGACTGTAAAACGATTTGAGGAAATTGAACAGGCTGGTCGCCCAGGTCCCAATCACATGGAAAATACTTATTTTTTAAATGACAACTATAACAGCTAATGCTTCCTGGACACTTACCATGGGAGTGTGGAACCCAGTGTAAGTGCTTTACGGCTATTAACTCTTTAGATTCTTAAGAGAATTTGATGAAGTATGTTCTACTCTTATTCGTGTTTTATAGATGAGAAAACCAAGGCAATGGGGGCATGGCACACTTGGGGCCCCTCAGCAGCCAGGATTCCTCTCATCTAGATGAGGCACCCAAGGAGCAAGGTGGGAGCAAACTGGAGCAAAGAGATACCAGAGGGCTGGCGCCACGGCTCACTAGGCTAATCCTCCACCTGCGGCGCCGGCACACCGGGTTCTAATCCCGGTCGGGGTGCCAGATTCTGTCCCGGTTGCCCCTCTTCCAGGCCAGCTCTCTGGTGTGGCCCAGGAGTGCAGTGGAGGATGGCCCAAGTGCTTGGGCCCTGCACCCCATGGAGACCAGGAGAAGCACCTGGCTCCTGCCTTCGGATCAGCGCGGTGCACTGGCCGCAGCACGCCGGCCGCAGCGGCCATTGGAGGGTGAACCAACAGCAAAAGGAAGACCTTTCTCTCTGTCTCTCTCTCACTGTCCACTCTGCCTGTCAAAAAAAAAAAAAAAAGAGATACCAGAACAGGGAGATGGGGCTGGGGTACTGGGGGTATCACAGATGCTGAGCTACAGCATCTGCATATACTGCTGAATACTAGGAAAATGCATGGCTCCCCTCGGCGGGGTGGCCTGCCAGTGACTTTGAGAGTGTCCCATAGAAACGTAACTTCAGTGAGGAATTTCTCTAGACTCCTAGACAGTGATGTCAGGGCTCCCACGGTCTAGAAGACTCTCCCTTTCTTTCTTATTTCCCTCTCCTTTGTATTTTATTTCTGGAGAGGAATATATCAGAACTTGCAAACATTCCTAAAAGAGCTTATATTCTATTTCTGGCAAATCTTTCAGAAAGATACACACACACACACATACGAACACACATATGTGTTAGTTAATGGAAGCAATACATATTGGGTAGCATTTTGGAAAAAAATATTGACATAATCTTTTTTTTTTTTTAAAAAGTCTTATTTATTTATTTGAAAGTCAGAGTTAGAGAGAGGCAGAGGGAGAGAGAGAGGTCTTCCATATGCTGATTCACTCCCCAAATGGCAGCAAAGGCCAGAGGTGGGCTGAGCCAAAGCCAAGAGCCAGGAGTTTCTTTTGGGTCTCCCACACAGGTGCAGGGGCCCAAGGACTTGGGCCATCTTCCATGGCTTTCCCAGGCCACAGCAGAGAGCTGGATTGGAAGTGGAGCAGACGGGACTCAAAGCAGTGCCCATATAGGATGCCGACACTGCTTTACCCACTACGCCACAGCGCCAGCCCCAAGACACAATCTTTTAAAATAATTTTACTTGGGTAACTGGACAAGTTATTCATTTTACTACTTTGTAGAGGAACAAGCTAGGTTCCAATTAGAATAAAACATTTGTGGATCGTATTATCCCAGGTGGGGTAAATTCCACTGATGACCCAGCATTGACATTTGTGCTGATCCAAGATAAAACTTTTCAGTGTATATCTTACATATCTGTTGGCCCAGTTCTGGATCCATTCATTTATTTCTCTGAAGTTATTGATGACTTAATAACTTGGTTATGAAAGGCCATCCATAAATGAGTAGAAATAAATGAGTTAGTCTAGTGTGCGCTCTGCTTGTGCACTGGGGGTTGAAGACAAATGTGCCAAGGGAAGGCTGGCCTTAGCAGTCACCCTGCAACAGGGAAGGTATCTGATGAGGCAGCACAGAGAGCAAGCCCCTGGGAGGGCCCAGATGGGCAGAGGACAGCAGGTAGCATCATCTATCT